CGGAATGATGGTTGCCCGATCATCTGGCTCTCTGGTACTGGTATAGGATGAGGAGTTGGCCTGTCCGTTCCCCAAGCAGCGACTTGCTTTGGCCAAATTGAGTCTCAAACCCAAATATGGAATGGGCAAATCGTTGCACATATTGATGGATTGGGGGCCCGTGAACCATGACTCAAGCAATTCTCGGCTCACCCGATTGCACATGTTGCGGAGAATCTCGGCCTCATCAAATATGAACGTATGACCGGGTCTCGTCGAATGAGCCGCAACTTGACAAGTGGCAATTTGCTTTGACGGATTCGGGTCTCGTCGAAGGAGCCGCAACTTGAGAATTGGCATCCTTTTGCCGCACTGCTGCCGCACTGCTGCCGCGTGTTCGGCAATTAGTGTCTTGAGAAGTCTGCCAGTTTCTCCCACATAGTTGCTCTGCACGCTTTGCGGCTCAGTTGCATGAGTATCAGTTGGCTGTACGAAGACTGGATCCAAACTCGGAGGTAGCAACCCATGCTGCAGAGATGGCGGCAGTTTTCAATTTTGACGGTAGTTAAGTTATGGCTGAGGCGACGAGCACTAATGAAGGCAGACAAAAGAAGCTTGAATATCCACCAACTGCTCAGTAAATCGCCATTTCAGGTTGCCTACCCCCTATCTGGTTATATGGACCTTCTTATCAAGATACAGTAACGGCATAGTATAATTAGGGTCGCCAGCTATCTCTGTAGCCAACGAGCGCGGAGGAGAAAGAGACTGTGGTGAGACGCAAGTCGAGGCGAAACCCCACGCGGTCAACGGGGCTGGTGGCGTGAAACATTTGGGACTGGTATATATCTCCGCGGCCAACCAGTGCGGAGGTAAAGCAAACCATGTTGACACACTGGTGGTCTACGGGAATGGCAGCCGCGGCGGCACAATTGCCAGTGAGATAATAGCCACACGCCGCGGCACAGCCGGTATTGACAGGATACATACACAAACAGACGAAAGGAGCGGCATATAACAAGAGCTGAGCCAGAATATCCAGTCTCTGAAGACGGGCAGACGAAAAAACTGCCCAAAACGTCAGATACTGAATAAACCTCTCTCTCATTGAACGCTCTCTCCTGTTTTAACTTGCACCCTGTCTTCATGTATACATGGACTGGTCAGACAGGAATCTATTGAAAGCACACGTATGCTTGTCAACTGGTCCTCAGCAATGAGAATTTTCGAAACTACAAAAAAAACACGCCAACACGCGACGTCGAAGAAATGCAAGGCTACGTAAGCCGCAGTGGAATGAGGAATTTCTGGCCCTCACTTGTCATCGGAAACCCACCATTGCTTAGCTCCGATAGAAGAACTTTCTGACGAAAAGCACTGGAACACGTCATTCAGTGTCATCCTCCGTAACACACGAAATGGATGCATCTCGCGTGAGACCACGCTTCGTTTCTAAATGTAGGCATAAACAGTTCCGCATTTTCTAGCAAACACTGTTGCATTTAACTTTAACTTATACGTGTAGAGCATTTAGTACAAAAATAAAACTACCATACTTTCAGTAAAAATTCGTTTTGTTTTAACAACCTCAAGATATGATGATAATAATAAACTCAGTGTTTTTGTACGCAGCAAATCAAGCATTAATTTTATGAGATCCTCTCCAGTTGTTGTTATTATTGTAAACTAAACGCGATACTTTGATATAAAACTTACCGGTTACGAGAAATTCTACGCTTTATATCTGCTGGATCCGCAAATTCTAAGCTTTCTTTTCCAATGGCAAAGAAATGTGGCAAATTCGTAAGGCGAATTTTCAGGGTAATCACTTTACATCTTACCGGTTAACATCTTATTCGGCACGGCAATTGAGTTCTTTCAGAAAAACCTTAAAAAACTTTATGATTGTCAAAAGAAGTTGATATGTGAGTTCCAGGAAGCAATTCAGAAGAAGATGCTATCACTGGAACAAGAGTAGTGTTTTCCCGATCTTTCGGGTTCCGTCGAGAATCCTTAATCATAAGTAATCGTAGGATATGTTGTAATCGTAGGATACGTTGAGGCATGCGCAGGTGGTAACGATACCTGAACAGATTTTACGGTATTTATAGTTCGTAGCGGTCAGCCGCATGCGTACTGTAATTATCAGCTCCTGTAGCCACCACGCTGGGTCTTAATTGATGCGGTGATGGCTCGACACTTCGCATTCGATTCATTAGTTGTCGCGATTTCCTCGTCCGTGTCGGATGTGGGCTCGATAATTACGCAACAATTATGCTCGCATATTCTCTCCTATTGGCAATTTCTTTGGGTGCGATGCGCTCCGATTGGCTCGACGGTGGGAAACATTTGCCTTTCAAGTGTCGTCTACTTCTACGTGGATGTGATTCCTGCACAGGTTTCTCGGCAATAATGTGTTACCAAAATGTGTTTCGTACAGACCACCGGTTAGTACATAGTTGGCAAGATGCAAATAATTTCAGCACGGCAGATGTATGATCCGAGTGATCTTTCAAGATTGTCACGCGAGGCTTCGCAAGTACCGTCAGAGGATCGACGAAGAGAAGGCAA